TTTGCTTATACCACCCTCTGTTGATAGGGGTTAACTGGTTTTAGTTTTATAACTTATTTCTTTTGTGAACTCTGTAATAAAACCAACGAAATGTCAGCTTAAAACATCTCCAAAACAAGTCTTGTTCTTTTTATCTTTTTTTTTCCCCCCCCCCAATACTTTTTGGTCTGAAGAGTGTATTTTTCTCTTTGGCTTTCCTAGTATTAAACAGAACTGATCACCGGTTGGCTTTTTTTTCTTACTCTCTACCACTGTTTCTTAATCCTGTGTTTCATCTGGAATCTCTCATTTCTTGGTATAAAGCAAAAACTGCTGCTGGCATATCTGATTTGGAGTCTGTAGAAATAATAACAATAATAAAGAACACTTACTATTCTGAAGCATGGCTTCTTGTTGCCATTATTTTGGTACCTTACATGCAGCCAAACCACACACCTACAAGACTGAAGTGGAAACTCTAATTCTGGCTCCATTGTTGTGGTTTTGGACAAACCTCAGTTTCCCCATCTGTAAAATGGGACTAATAGCATCTACCTCGAGGTCGTTGAGAGTGTTAAGATAGGCAATGGGTATAAATGCTATTAAGGTGTTAGGTATGATGACTGGGTGTTAGGTGGTAACGGAAGGAGGGAAGCAGGCAATGTTTGAGGGTGAGGTGCCTTGCAGCTGCAAAGAAATCTAACACTGAAGAGTGGCTATGTGAACTGGGCATATGTGCATACTGTGGGACTTTGTTACATCTGCTGCATGCTATCCATGCACATCCTAGCATAGGATACCACATAAGACAAAACAAATGTGGGCTGGTTGGTTGGTGTAAATTTAACTACTGGCAGTTGTGAGCCTGAAAAGAGTTGAAAGAATCTTGCTTGCCTTGGTTGTATTGAAAACCTAGTAGGAAAAAGAAAGGAGTGATTAAACTTTAAGCAAGCAGATACAATCGTTCTGTGGTAAAGTGTTTAACCAGTCGGAATGGGCTGTGTGGAGGGAGCAAGGACTAATGCTGTTCCAGCTGTTGAAGCAGGAGTTGCACAAGTTCTCTGTACAAACATAAATGTGCATGGTCTCATCTAAGCAAAGCCTGAAGATACTGGTTTAGTAATAGAAGTACCTCAAGAATTACTTACAGCCTATATGGTCTCAATGTTCTTGTGGTTGTTATTTGAAAAGCAGGTCATTTTGTTTTCAGGGTGGGTTCCCCACAGTTGTCTAATTATGAGCTGCTGCCCTGTAACCGATTATGTAAGTGGCTGCTGAATACAGTGTGCCAAAAATAAAACCTTTTTAGTGCTGGTACTGCTTGTTGTTTCTCAGTAGTCCATCAGATAGACATGGGTAGAACAATATCATAATGCAAAATCCAATACTGCAATTGCTTGTTTTGAGAGGACAAGGGCAGAAGCGAAGTCCTTCACATCTACCCTTCTATGTGATACTGAAGTGGAAGTCTCTTGTCACCTGGTACTTACTTTCTATCCTCCCTTTCAGCTGGCTTCTTACAGGCTTTTCTACACCATGCTGATCTTAATCTCGAGACTGAAAAACAGAGTTTCCTGTTGGCCCTATAAACTTACTTAGGCTCACAGTGTCATGTTGCTATTCTGAAATGGTAAGCAGTATACCTTAAATCTGCAATATAGCCTTCATAGTCAGAATAGGCATGTACAGCATACAGTACGTGTAGTCATCAGCATTAAAGCTATTATTTTCCTTTTCTATTCTACCACCTTCCTGAGGGGAAAGAAATACGCCTCTCTTGCTAAAGACAATAGCTAAAAAAATACAAGAAAGGCCACAGTTTAACTGACTTTAAACAGCAACACCAGACAGCAGCTGCAGAGAAGCTTTCTGGTGCTTTTTGGTCAAGTAAACCCCAAAAGATTTAAGGTAGACTAGCGATAAAGGAAGCAGGTGTTTGTTTCTCCTGCAATTAGTTGAGTTACTGTAACTGAAGACCAGATGCCTTGCCAGCAAATGAGAGTCAAAAGAAAGGAAAAAAAAAAAAAAACAAAAAAAACCCTGGAGCAGCTGCCTAAGAGGAGACGGGAGTGTTGAACTGAAGGAGGGCTGGAGAGGTTGGGTATGTAACGTAGCGGAACTGGCTGTGTAGGCCTCTGGAAGGTAATGGAAGATGGTAGAAAGGAGTCAGAAGAGCTTGAAGCTTAGCTATCTCCTGCAGCAGGGTTCTTCACAGCCACGAGTGCTACACAGCTGGGGAGGGGGAAAGAAATGCAGGCTTTGGCAGCGAACTTGAACTGTGAAGGCTGTCAATGGACATGCTCAAACAGACTTACTGAACAGTTAGACTACACCTGGAACCCTGCTTAGGCTCTGGTGCTTTGTTGTTGTATATAATGACTTTGTTTGAGTTTTTCCCTTTTGAAGAAAAAAAATGTCCAAAGCCCTATGACTAAAGTTACATTGATGTTTTGAGTGGAGCAGAGATGCAGCATTTTTGACATTCTGGAAGGTACTGGCAGATGAGAGGAGGAAATCTTCCACTGTGCTCATCCCGGCGGTGGTCAGTAGCTTTATAAAAGGCTGCTGAAGGGACGGGTTTGTCACATACGTTATTTTTTTGTTCAGGCAGGTGGATCTTTTCCTCTTCTCTGCCCTGATGGGCTGACGTCAAGGACGGGTGGGACCACCTCCCTCGGTCCAAGTTCTTGTGATGCTCCACAACTGCTTCACCGTGGCGTGTGCTGGGGACAGAGGCCAAAGTGCGAAACCACAAATACCCCTCGGGACTCCTCCCCACCGGTGGGGGGCGGGTGCGCTGCAGCCCCAGCTCGGGGCCGGGGCAAGGCGAGGCGCGTTACCGGCTGGCGGCCGCGGCACGATG